GTGTCCGTAGTGTCCCACACAGAGTCTGTCCCTCTGCCCTGTGGCCTGCTTATTGATCTTTCCAACGCTGCCTTTTGAAGGAAAAAATATTTTTTCTTCATTCAGAAATAAAAATGGCTAATTCAGTTATCCCTACCCCAAATTTTTAAAAGTATAGCCTCCTTTAAAAGAACTAAAGCACTTCTCTTCTCCATCTCCCCATGTCCTCTGTGTTATTCCTTATGCTCCACAAGGAAGCAAAACCATATGATAACTGACTCTGTTTGACTTATTTCACTCAGCATAATCTCCTCCAGTCCCGTCCATGTTGATACAAAAGTTGGGTATTCATCCTTTCTGATGGAGGCATCATACTCCATAGTGTATATGGACCACATCTTCCTTATCCATTCGTCCGTTGAAGGGCATCTTGGTTCTTTCCACAGTTTGGCGACTGTGGCCATTGCTGCTATAAACATTGGGGTACAGATGGCCCTTCTTTTCACTCCATCTGTATCTTTGGGGTAAATACCCAGGAGTTGGGGGAAATGGGAGGGGGAGATGAACCATGAGAGACTGCGGACTCTGAGAAACAAACTGAGGGTTTTGCGGGGTGGGGGGCACGGATGGGGGAGCCTGGTGGAGGGTACTAAGGAGGACACGGACTGCGTGGAGCACTGGGTGTGATGCGTAAATAATGAATCTTGGATCACTGAAAAAATAAAATTAAAAAATAAATATACAAAATTTGTAGAAAAAATAAAACTTTGGCCATAAAAGAACCACAGGAAACTGCACATTCATTCCGTATCCATGAAAGAAAAACGCTGTTTTATTTCACAGTAGAAGAAAAATGAGTTTGGTTTCACTTAGGAAGGCTTTGATTTTCTCACCTTCTCATCCACCTGTAATGCACTCGGACGGCCCGGGCTGACCACCGGCAACAGAGCGTGGCGCGCCGGCCGCTTCCAGAGCAAGTCTGGAAGCGCAGCGTCGGGGGCTTTGGTGGAAAGCAGTGTTTTCCCGATGGCTGGCAAATGCCCGAGACGCACAGAAACATGGTGCTCTGGACCACGGACAGCCGCTGCCACTCCGTGGAGGAGGTCCCACAGGGGCGGATGCGGGGATGAGAATGGGAGCAGGAGGGGACCTGAGGGGCTGAGTCGCTGGCGGTGTCTTCGGGAAGCCACTGGGAACCGGGGAGTCCCACGCGACAGTACATGGTCACGGTCCAGGGCTGAGGAGCAGAGGCCACGGATGAGCGCCGGGTCAGCCCGAGAGGGCCGCGGCCCCAAATCTGAGGCTCCTCTCTATGGACCCTTGCACTGCGAGGCCGGGGCGGGGCGCTAGCACTCCTCACCCAGCTGCGTGGCCCGTGTCAGCGCCCGCGGCTCAGCCTGGACCATCTCTCTGAGCAGCTGCCACTGCTATTCAGAGGACACGGACCGTGGCCCCTCACGGCTGTGTTTGCACCTCGTGGCCGCCGGCAGCGGAAGCCGAGAGCCAACAGGCAGCTCCTGATCCACGCCGGCCGGCACGGCCTCCACCCAGCCCACACCCCTGAAGGGAAGAGCAGAGCAGTTTCTGCTCATGACCATGTCGGTGACTTTCTTCCTCCAGAACACGCCCTGCACGGACGCTGACCGGGGCTCTGACCCGCGTCCTGCAGGCTGTGCACCTGACCGCGGGCTCGCGTCCCAGGCTCGGAAGGTACCGTGAAGCTGCTAAGAGCCACAAAACGAAAATCAAGCTGGGGACACACAGAGGAAATGAGTCGACAGGTCACTTGTAATTAGGGCCTGGAACGAAGTTGGCACTTGTGGCCGTTGTGGGAACGATGACGGGAGGAGGGCACGGGGAAACTGAGGCCAGGCAGGCAGGGTCAGCGTGAGCAGGAAATCCCTCCTTTGACAAACATACCTGGTGGAACCACACAGAGTTACCTTCTTGCAGATGGAAACCAGCAGGTCACTGGTCACTTTACACAGTTTAATCTAATAACTCCGAAGCCAAGAGCCTGTGGGTCTCCGAGGAAGACACCTTCCCGGACAGCGGGCTGCCTGGACCCCGCGCGCAGCCACTCTTCGGGGCCGCTGGGTCGACGGGTCCAGTCACAGACCGCGTCAGCGTCTCCAGCTGACCGGCCAGCGTCTGCAAAACCTGAGTAACCTTTCCCACGGACCCCACTCTGAGACGTGCAGTCGGCTCAGCTCGGGCCAGGAAAGCCAAGCCCCACATCGGAAGAGAACGCCAGAAAGGAAGAGACGCGGTCTACTCCAGAGTCCGTCTAGCCTACCGCTCCGCACCCGGCGCGGGCAGCCTGCGGGCACAACCTCGCTTTCTTGTCCACAGAAACATGGGCGTGCCGGGAGCATGTAAACCCCAGGACATACGCCACCTGATACGAATCGTTGGTCACCCTCATCCCAGGACGGAATCTTCACAGTGGCCAGATTCCTGAAACGGCGGCAGGCGGGACAGACCCGTGCCCCGGCCCACTCTTCCACCAGACGTCAGCATCACCGGGAGGCCAGTGCCCCTTCCCCGGGGCACTCGCCCGCCATCCTGTCCCTGCTCCCTCGTCCACCTGCTGCGGACGGTGCACCCAACAGGGCCACCCCGGGAAGCCATGCTGAGCCTCAGGCTCCTGTCCTGTGACATGAAGGTCAGTCCCTGAGAAACCCTGGGGGACCAGGAAGCCTACAGGCTGACGTGCCTTCACAGCCCACGGCGCCGTGAGATTGCGGGCATCTACACAGTGTCTTCCCACGGCCCTTGGGCAGCCTGCCTCTGGACCCCGCCCCTACGCGCCCCCCCCACCCTTCCCACCCCTGTCCTGGAGACACCTTGGCCCCAAGCCGAGCAGCCCTCCTCTTCCATCTGCTCCTGAGAGGGCCCATTCGTCTTCCATCTGTCAACGTTGTGTGTATAGAGAACGCTTTCTGGCAGGTTTCCCAGGACGAGATGCCATCACGACCTCCCTATGATGTAGTTTTGTCGACTATTTGGAAAATAAAATAGAACTAATAATAATTTCTACCAAACTCATAGCGTTATCACAAAAACTGGGTAACGAATCGAAATCAAGTCAAAAATGAGACGTTCTATTTAATACATTATTTTTATCAGTGTCCCCCGGTGAAGGCAGAGCTAGCCGGAGTGACCTGCTTCCTGCGAGAACGGTGGAACCGCTGTCTAACGCAGGTACCCAGCACGGTGGCCCACGCCGACCGCAAGTCGGGCTCCCGCGGCACCAACGCCCGCAGCCCACGGGCTCCCGCGGCAGAGGCCGCCCACGTTCCCACTGCTCCCTGCCTCTCCTCTCAGCAGCCGCTTTCCCAAGTTTACTTCGTCCTGCCTTTTCCCTGGTGAAGCTTTGTAATGCTTGGCTTTTTTTAAACATTAGTTTTTCTTCTTTTAAATATTATTTGGTTGTTATTGACATTAAAAAATTAAAAATTTTTCCCCAAAGTCACAAGGGACACAGCTGGCATCAGGACTTCTCTCCGGAGGAAGCGTGTCTGTGAATCGCACACGGGACAGGCGCGTCAGGATCAGAAGACAGGAGCACCTGCTGTGGGGACGGCACCCGCCCAGGGACGGTGCGAGCCCGTCTGCAGCAGCAGAACATGCAGGAGAATGACCACGTTGCCCGGCCAGTGCACTCAGATGTTCTCCCAGAGCAGCAGCAGGTCCTGAACCGACCCTGCACGCCCACGCTCACAGCAGGAGCACGCAGGGGTGGCCGCAGTAGGACGGGAAGAATGAATGTCTGTCGCCCCGCAGAGCCCGGCACCTGCAGCACCACCGAGGGACCTCCAGGATGCCACCGTCAGTGACGCGAGCCAGCCAGGAAGCAGGACCCCCCAGCAGAATCCACGGCCCGGGGCGGGGGGAGGGAGGGCCGGACGGGCTGCGGGGCTGACGGGGGCGGTTCCCCTCCCGCCAGAGGAGAAGGTTCTGGAGGCCTAGGCCGCGGCGACTGCACAGCAGAGTGACAGCCACAAGCACCCCAGAACCATGCCCTCAGACGGGCTCGGACGGCCGCCTACGTGCGTCTCCCCAGAACCGAGAGTAATACGGAAAGAGATGTTGAACGCGGTAACTGGGATCAAGACTATGAAGTAAGATTCTACGGGTTACTTGCCTTGTGAATTACGCTTCACTCACTCATTTTTAACCAATTTCAAAATAACCTAGTTTTAACAAAGGAAAACAACAGAATTGCTATAAATGGATAAAATAACTCCCAAGTGTTAGGAAAAATAAAAATGAGTTTTCTAAAATTTTGCTCCTCCAACACTGTGCTGGGAAAAGGATGTGCATCTGTGGTCGGGGCGTGGACATCCCCACGTGGAGCCCGGAGCCCAGCCCAGTCCTCAGCACTACATCTCTCGGCAGGAGAGGAACAGGGGATGGGACGGCTCGCGTAGAATTTCCCGGGGCCTGTCCAGGCCGGCCTGAGAGGCTCGGCCGCGGGTGGATTGCGTGTTGTCAGCCGTCCCCTGTCTGGAACCGTCCTGGAAACATCCTGACTCTCCTGGGGCCCCAGAAAGACCCGGTTCTGGAACGTTGGAGGAAAGACACCTGCCGCCCATCCCCAGGACAGCCATTTGTGTCTGTGGAATTCGTGGGGGACCCTGAGGACCCCCCTCTGCTGGGAGAAAAGGCCCAGAAGCCAACCTGTGGGCAGAGCCCCCCAGTCACCAAGCAAAACCAGGGCATGTGGTCAGGAGGCCGGTGGGCTGCGCTGCCACTGCTCTGTGTCCACCCCACAAAGTCGGTTAGGAAACGAACCCCAGGTTACTTTTTATTGAAGAACATTCTGTTTCAGCTTTACCGCGTTCTGTGCAGAAGTGCTGGACGCCGACTCCAGTCGTCCAGCAAGGGGACCCTTGGGAGGCGCAGGGAGCTCCCAGGCGTGCGTGTGGCGGAGCAGAGCCGTGGAGGAAGGGACGCAAATCCCGGTGGGGCTGGGAGCAGGACCCCTGGCTGCCCGCGCAGCCCCCTCACGTCCGCGGTCAGTTCTCAGCTCCGGACAGCTGCAGGTTTCCATCCAGGCTGACCGTGGCGAGCTGCAATCGAAAGCAGGACGTCGTGTGCTTCCGTCCCTCTCCAGAGGGGAGAGCCCTGCACACTTACAGTGTGGGTTCCGCTCACTGGGGACTTTCTAGAGCACAGAACAAAGTGCATTAGCAAGAGTGGCAGCACCACGCCGATGGCTGACGACTGTGAACCACGTGTCACGGCTGTTCTAAGGCCAGCGACTGCCACGTGCCCGGAAGACCACACGACGGCCTGTGTAAGCCTCTGCCAGCTCTCAGCCACGCGTGGGAGCCACGGAGCCCCAGCCCTCCGGCTTCCCGCCACTCCACTCCCTTCCCCGGGCGGAGGGCGGCTCACTCACTGGGCCGAGGTGGGGGCTCCTCAGACAAGGAGCCAGGCCCCTTCCCTGCTCCTTTGTCCCCGGGGCCAGCTGGCAAAGCCCACTTCTGAGCTCAGGAGGGAACGTGGACTGTGGCCCACGCGCTCTCACGCCGCACGTCAGGTGGCCTCAGCTGTCTGCCGCACGTGCACCGAAGGCTGGCTGGCCACAGCGACGCTGCCTCGCGTTCTGCGTTTTGAAACATTACACGCATCACCACTTGGACGTTGTCCACTGTGACTTCAAACCCCATCAATTTCCTCTTCTTGCCCGAAGAAGCCAGCGCGACCCTGACCCGTCCAATGTCCAAAACCAGGACGGCTCTTTGAATCTGCTGCTGGTCCAGACGCGTAATCGGCCCCAGGGCCTCGCGCTGCCGTGGCTTCGCCCTGCGGGGCCACCTCCCAGCGTGACCTTCCCACCGTGTGCCCACGGCCACCACACCTGGGGCCTCACACCCTCCTGGAGCTGCATGACCTCACCCCCATAGCCCCTCGTCCCCCTTGCAAGCGTCAGCAATCCAGTGTTACCGTCAGGAATCGGGACGAGACCCACGAGGTCAGAGGCCTGTGGTCTTGCGGGGTGCCCCCCCACATCTGCGCCCCTGTGGGCCTGGAAATGCTCTCGGAGTCCATGCCACCACCAGGCACGGTTGCCTTGAGGGCGTGAGGGGCAGGCGTGCTCCCGAAGCTAGTCCTTCCCTCCCGCCCCTCCCTCCCCTCCCCTCTGCGCGGTTCTTGCCGCTGCGGTACTGCGGCTCGGTACCCGTGTGACGCCTGAGCCGAGGCCGCGTCCCTCTCTTCAGCCACACGTCGCCGTAGCGCCCTCCATCAGGGACACGGGGGCCCACTGAGCCCACTGGCCGGGTAAAGAAGATGACATCACAAGCAGCAATGTGTACATTTGATTTTTAAGAGCCTCTGCCTTAGAAACGGTAGAAGATCCGTAGGAAAATAGTCAGTAGGCAATGACCTCACCGCTTCTGTCCACAGAGCTAGATGTTCTAAAAACCGCTGGCCAAGAGGAAGACAGGACAGCAGGACACAGATCCCCGACTCCAGGGGCACAACCCTTTCCTGGGATCATTCCCCAGGTCACACCTGGAGAAGCAGGTGACAGACAGCAGACAGCTGTGGAGGCTGCATCCCACCCATCCATCCATCCACCCCAGAGCACAGTCCAGGGGGCAGCTGGCACTGCACGGTGCGGTGGGGGAGCTGCGAAGACCGGGGCCCAGCAGAGATGCTGCATGGACACAGCCCAGGCTGCCCCGATGAGGGCCTCACCGTTGTCTGGCTCAGCCTGTGCTCCAGAAACATCCCAGCAACCCTGGGAGCCTGTCTAGCCTGGGCTGTAAGACAAAGCACCGGATCGGACGGCTGGTGAACCAGTGAGGTGTGTTGCCCACAGGCTGGGACCCAGGAGACCAAGGCGGGAGGCACAGTGGGTTCCAGGGGCTCCATCCTCACCTGGGGAAGACGGCATTCTGAAGCTCTTTCTGGGGCACAAAGCCGGCCCCTGAGGGTTCCACATCATGACTGGGTCACCTGCCAAAGGCCCCCCTCCTCACACCAATGCATCCTGTCCGTTGCAGAGCCCAGTCAGGGTTTGGGGTGGCGAGGAATCACACTGACCGCTAGCCAGTGAGGCACGCAGGAGAAAGCAATGCACCTGAGAGTGCGTGCAGAGACCGACGCTTGCCACAGACATCCGCTCGGCCGTCCCCGTGAGTGCGTACCAGCCGGGCTTTGTGACCCCAGCGACGCACGGGCTTGGCCCACACACGGCGGGTGCTGTGCCCGCAGCTCCCCGGGTGTCCGCACCTCGTGCTCCCTCGGGAAACCTATCCCCAGATCACCTCGGCTTTCCTAACACCATCATTTTTCTTCTTTTCTTAGATATTGACAGGTTCAAGACGTCCCAATAATATCTTAAGTGATCACCAATCTATCAACAACTTCTTGGGTGACATGTTTACGTTGATTGACACGGATGGGTCTTTGCTATCCTAAGCGATTCAGCGAATCAAAAACGAGAAATGCAGAAATAACAAAAGCACCATTTCTGAGTGTTTCTAGCACAGCACCATGCCGTGTGGCGCATGTCTCTATGGATACAGACAGCGATATCGGGCTGACACGGACACCCTGCCTCGGAAGACCCGAGCACAGGCATCTCGGATTCCATGATGGATTACGATGGTAGACCCTTACAGGGTTTCCGGGTGCAGATCACAAACACGGGCTTGGAGTCAGACATTTTCTACCACGTGTCTGCCGTACAGTGTGGAGTAAGTCACGTTCCTCTACCTCCGTCCGGGAGACGTACTGGGGTGACATTACCCTCCCAGAGTGAGAAGGCCTGTATCTGCTCATGGGTGTCAAGCACCCACCAGAACCAGACGTGAAGGAGAAATGACGATGAGGTATTTTTCACCGTGTCCTGGGAAATGAGGGTCAGTGTCACCCGGATGTACTGAACACAGCGTGAAACAACTACGCTCTGGCTTAGAATGTGCGCGAGCCTAACGGTGTGCTACCTGCCTGAACCAAGACCCCATCTGAGCTCCCCATCTGTGGTGGAACGGGCAGGACGCGGAGCCGGGCAGGCCCGGGAGGGACAAGACAGGAGGTCAAGGGTGAATCCAGACATGTGTAAACCGCTAACGGTGTAAAAATGCAAGTGCTCGTATCTGTGCAGCATAACAAATAGCAGGAGGACAAGGGGAGATGGAGAGGAGAAGGGAGTTGAGGGAAATTGCAAGGGGAGGTGAACCATGAGAGACTGTGGACTCTGAAAAACAGTCTGAGGGTTTTGAAGGGGCAGGGGGTGGGAGGTTGGGGGAGCCTGGTGGTGGGTATTATGGAGGCACGGACTGCACGGAGCCCTGGATATGGTGCACAAACAATGAATTCTGTTACGCTGAAAAGAAATTAAAAAAAAAAAAATGCAAGTGCTCGCACCCAACACACCCACCCTGGAGCAGGGCTCCCAGCAGGTCCGGACCGTGTCCCTCCGGCCCCAAAAAGGGACCGAGACCAAGGGGTCACCTTACAGCTGCCAGCACGCCTGAAAGACACCACTCTGGAAAACAGGAAACCATCTTCTGTGCCGATAACCAAACGGGCTCCAAAGGGTAAAGGCAGAACACTGTACTCACCGTTCCAACCACAGAAATCTGCGGCGGTTCCCCCACTTGAGGACCTTGTCCTCCGAAGGAGAAGCTGCTGACAACGCGTCCACTGCGAGCCCATGTGACGTCAGCACACGCTGACCCCACGTGGGCCACCCGCCGCCACACACAGCCACGGCATGTTTCCAAATCGTGTCCGTTATCTTTATGAACCGTGATTCTGGCTTCCGTCCCTGCACCGCCGGGTGTATTTCTAGATAGCTGAGGGTCCCAGCTAAAGCATGGAACGAGTAAAACTGGCTTATTCTGACAGATTGCTTAAAATGATGGAGAACACTACAAAAAATAAGGCTCTTTTAACTCTGTACTCCTCCGCAAAATGTACGATCGAGTTCATTCATGCAACAAACGCGAATTAAATGCTCTTTAGTTAATTAAATGCCCAGCACTGCTGCAGGGCTCTGCGGGTCGGGCAGCTGAGCTACCAAACTGATCGGAAGGCAACTCAGACCCGCACAAATCAGAGCTCTCACCCAGGACCACGCGCTCCCAGTGGCTCTCGGGACACAGCCGTCCAGACGCACAGGGAGGGCTGGGAGGCCTGAGACAACCCAGCAGCGCCTCCTCCCCGCGGTCTCAGAGTCAGGCCCAGGCTCAGGCCCCCGGGCAAGCAGTCCCATCAGGAGGCCCCCCCACCTTCGACCTCAGCTAGATGCCAAGCTTGCGTGGCGTGCTCTAGGGAGCCGTGACTCACAGAACCACGGGCCGCAGACCTGTCCACCACGTGCAGCTCTAACCGAAGGCATCCTGCGGACAGTAGCACTGAGGCCAAGACTGTCTCTCCAGGAAACACCATGAGTCCACCCAGCAGGCCGTGGGCACCGCCACACTAACAGGGAGCAGTCCGGGTTATCTGCCATCGTCCCTTTCCCTGGAGTGTCCCCTGGTGCTCCTGGTAACTGCGAGAGAAACAGGCCTGAACATCCTCCTTCCCGGCATTAAACTCGTCTCCTGTGGCAGACGTTCCACTGGAGAAGCAGCCAACAAGCAGGTGACGCGTTTTGAGACCTTTGTGCCATGAAGGACGCGCGATGGGGGGCGGGACACAGACGGGAGCGAGTGGGGCGCTGCCTGAAACCGCTCAGAGTTCCCTCTGAGGACACAGTTTGTGAGCCGAGATCTGAAGCCGAAGCAACCATTCACGAGGTTTCTGGAAAACCACTGTGACTCGTCAGGAGAATGGTAAGTGCAAAAGTCCTACGTGGGAAAGCCTGGTGTGAAACAGAAACAAGGAGAGAGTGGAAAGACGTGCCCTTGCGGACGGGGCCTGCCGCACGGAGAAGTGGCTGGAGGAGGCTGGGAAGTGGGCAGGGCTGGAGCTCTGCTCCCCTGCAGGAGGAGGCAACACCATCGTGGTAAGAACGACATCTGGTTTGTGTTCTAGGAAGGCCATCCGGGTGCAGGGTGGGGAAGAGGGGGTCCAGGCGAGAGGTGGGGGAGGGGACTAAGGACTAAGG